TGCAACAAGGCTCTAACCCAAGCAATTTTGCGAAGTCAACGTTCATGACTAGAAAACAAGACATTCTGTCCAGTGTTTGTGTGATTCCTATAAATGTCACTGGATGTTCTTTTCAGAGAAATGTTAAAGTTAATTTGGCTAACAATTCTTTTCTATTTAAATGTATATTGCTTGAAAATTATGATCTGATGGCCCTGGATGCAATTTGAGTTTTTCTGTAATTTTGAAAAGTCAAGCCCCACTGTTTGTTATTGTATCAAAAGGATAACACCATTTGTATCATGGTTATTCTGTTGATTCCATTTCATCATTACTTAAGGTGGCTCTGCAGTTATTCTGGGCACACTCACCCATGTCAAAGTTTGCAACATAAATTTTGGGGCTTTGAAGTGTTGGTTAAGAAATTTTGGGAAACATTTTGTCTTTCACTTGGTGATAATGTTACTTAATTCCATTTACTGGGGATAATACTTTTATTCTTACTGGTGTTTGACTGGACCTCATTTTTTGGACAACAACACTACCAGTAAAAAAAATTTTGCTGGCATACTTTTACTCAATTTCTAGAACCAGCTTATTTTGACTTAATACAAACCATGCCCAAGTTTCGGGGAAATCATTTGAGCAAAAGTTCAGAAGTATTAAGGTCAAAGACATGTAAACCCAACTCTAACATTCACTGAAAGTTTCTATATAACTGACTCTCATTTCCGAAACAAGCCATGAACCCAAATTTTGTGAGAAGCTTGCCCTAAAGCTTGCTAAATCAAAGTGGCTAGTCAATTAGTGATTGTGTGAACCATAAAAAGCATTAATCCCTAGTTCTCAAAACACTATAAAATGCTTGATAACCTCCTTGAATTTTCAAAGATGCATTTTGCAACAGTATTTGGAAATAACTTTCGCGTCAAAGTCTTTCCACACAAATTGCATGGTACTGCAATATTTTGGCTGCAAGCTTTACTGTTGTGACTCAAAAAGAAATGGGGCACCGTTGTCAGGATTGTAAGCTACTCCCCGACTGATCTCTGGTGAGGCAGAGAAGCAGTTTTATTAATTTATGATTACAAATACAAAATGGGTACTACAGGTACAGGCTGAGCCATCTTTTTGCAGTGCCTTAATATATAGTTAAAAAGACAATTATTAATAATAACAATAATAATAAATAAATAAAGCAATATTAAAAACAACAACAACGATGACAACAAAAATAATAACAATAATATTAATGTGAAGGTGAATTAATCAACATGGCACGAGCGTGGGACAAAGAAAAATTCTGAGTCCCCGACAGGAATTGAACCCATGACCTCCCGANCGGTATTGCAATATTTTGGCTACAAGTTTTACTGTTGTGACTCAAAAAGAAATGAAGCACTGTTGTCAGGATTGTAAGCTACTCCCCGACTAATCTCTGGTGAGGCAGAGAAGCAGTTTTATTAATCTATGATTACAAATACAAAATGGCTACTACAGGTACAGGCTGAACCATCTTTTTGCACTTCCTTAATATATAGTTAAAAAGACAATTATTAATAATAACAATAATAATAAATAAAATAACAATAATAAAAACAACAACAACGATCACAACAAAAATAATAACAATAATATTAATGATAATGATGTGCTTCAGGGCATGAATTATGCCGGTTTCCATTCATGACAGTTGGTTCATCGTATTTGACCAGTAAAAGTGCTTCACTGGGTCTATTTGTCAGAAAAGTGGAGTCTCATCAAAATGTGTGGGCACAATTCGTGGATGTTTAAAATCTTGTGAGGGATGTGCTCTATGACTGATCAATCACCCAATGAATCATTGTTGCAACACCAAAACAAGAAGGCAAGTTTATAAAAAAGTTGTTATGAGCATTTCCGCAAGTGGAAATTTTCTCATGAGTGCTAATGGGCAACAAAAGTCTACTAGGTAGGCAACTAAAAAGACACATGGGGAACCAACAAAAA